CTATATATGTTTCCATCACAACCCCAAACCTTATATCAATTTACCAGGGTATGTAATCTTGTTAATACAATTTATCAGTATTACAAATAAGCTCTAGATTTAATAATTCATAATATATAGAAACCTAAGTACCATCATTATCCATCTAACTTTTCTCCAAAAGAATCCATAACCAAAATTCTGATATTATTCCTGATTAATGACTTCAATATTCGATCTGCAAAGTGCTTGTTTATCATCCACAAGCGAATTATTTCCTTATAACTATGAAATTTTTTGACTTACGTCAATTGCTATATGCTTACTACTATTGGTTTAAGTTTTAGACTTCCTTTTTTACATACTCTTGCTAATGTACAAGCAAATGTACTTCAAGTCTTCCGCAGTTGCGTATGCTTATAAGTTTGTAGAATGATGGATTTGATTAACATAGAATATTTACTTACTTTTACACTAAGATTGTTTCACCTATTTTGCAGGTTATTTGGACCGAAAAATTTATGTTATTAAAAGGCAAGATGTAGCTGTGCTTTTTATTCAAAAGCATGCTCGAAGATGGTTGCTACAGAAGAACTTCATTCATGTTTGTTCAGCAACTTTGGTTATTCAGTCAAGTATCAGGAGCTATGTAACCCGCCAAAGATTCATCAGCTTAATGAAGCATAGGGCTGCCATCAGAATCCAGGTATGTTACAATGCAGAAAATGCAAAAAGAACAAGTTTCTTTGCTATCATGTCCTTTTGTGTTTTTTCAGATATGATATGGTGTATAAATGACAAGTACGTCTCCTTAGCTGTGGTGAAAGTGAGATATAATCCTTTCACAAACTAGTTTTTATGTAAGACTCTAGTACGTATCTGATAGAAAGAAGCTGAAACAATGTATCTACATTTTTATAATTGCTTATGCAAGAATTCTCCTACTTGCTATTTGAAGAATATATTTTCATGAAAGTTACAGAGGAGGATACAGTAGAATTTTTCAATTTTCATAACTGTTTATGCAAACATTTTGATCTTACTATTTAGCGAATACCTTTTTAAGGAAGTATGAGAGCTTTTCTTAAGTAGTGATTGTTTCCAGTTGAGGACCATGATGATTTGGCATAAGTTTAATCATTTTGCTATGGTAATATAAGGTTGCTTTCCTTGGAACTTGTTATGGTGGTGCAGATTCAAAAAAATATTAAACAGTTCTGATAAATGAACATGTAAAAGTTAACATGATTTTAGTGAATTTTAGAAGTTTACCTACTTTTGTTGGGAACATAATGTGATTATCATGTTTATATTACATTACTTCATACCCAATTATTTATAAGTCTGGTTGAACTGCCCATTGGACTTCTTACTGGGACTTTCTCCTGTTCTGTTCTCTTTTAAGCAGCAATTCTTGTGACTTGAGCTTACAACCTCTCAGCTCCATGTTCCTTGGCACTTTTAGGAGCTGATGCCTATTTGGATGTATTCTTTGGATGGAGCATATTGCTTTCTATTTGTTGATGTTCTGACTTTTCTCTTCCTTTGGAAGAGTTTTTGAAGGCTAGTTAGACATTACTGTAGAATGTTTCAATGTGATAGTAGTCTTAGCTCCCTCACCCAACAGGCTTAAATAGGCATATGAGAGACTAAAGCATATCAAAGGTTCACTCTTCATAGAATCTCCACATCGGAACTACAATTCGGTAGATTGCAGGGATATTGGAGTCTCAAGTTCAGTTCCTTCCACAACTCTGGCATTTCTATGATGATAGAGTGAATATTTAACCTTCTCAAGCTTCGTAGTGGTTTATTTCATGACTGTGTTGATGTCTTATTATGAGTAAGTCATAACATGTTCTATTTTGTCTATTAGCACATATGATCAGTAGTAACTAAGCTCAAGGTCATAGACTAAGATCATTCCACATGTGAAACAATGACTTTCTGCTTGTCCATGGAATGAGTATTTTGGGCTTTGTGGGAGGTTCTGTAGTTTCAGTATCTCAGATAACCTTTGTAAATCCTTAGTGACTCCTTGGGCCGTATCTGCATATAACATCTCTTGGAGCCTAACGTCTTCTCCTTGGCCCTCTGATCCTCCCAATTGATGTATACTTGCAGAAAGAAGTGAGAGGACGACTCCTTGTGGGTCAGGATAATGTACCAGTAATCTAGGATTGTCCTGTGCCATCTTCTTGCTGGTTGTTGCTTGACCCATATCATCTAATATGTCAAACCTCTAGAAACACTTAAAAGTCCCACTCATTTACTTGGCTTAACCATTTGAACAATTTCCTTTAAATTAGAATTTGAAAATTAGAAACAAATATAAATCATAACACATTTACTTGCTTACTAAGTGTCCATATTCTTGGCATCTTCCTGTTGTGCATATATTCTTCTTTGAAGCTTCTTGCACTCCACTGTCAACATGAAAATGGTTCAATAACATCATTACTATCTGAGTTCGGTATGAGGTGTAGAATGTTCTTCTGTTAAACTTAGGGGTAACAGTTGATGTTTATTGTGATCATATAGGCATGGTGGAGAATGTGCATAGCAGGCGCCGTATTTGAACGTTACAGACGGGTTACGGTATCTGTTCAATGTGCTTGGAGATGCAAAGCTGCAAAGAAAACGCTTCGTAAGCTTAAAGTGGTATGAATAAATCTCAAATTATTGTGAGGACCTGTCCTTATGAATCTTGCAAAAGATAAGTTGTTCTTTTTTATATTTTTTCCTCCTTGTTAACATATGAAAGTCATATGGCTAGCGTGCGGATTATCATTGCTTGTTGAAACTGTTTCATAATTTGTTCAACATTTTTGGCTTCCCACATCTAAACTCCTTTGAAGGAACTAATGTCCTTGTGAAGGTTTTTACCAACTTGCACATGAGTGTGTGTACGCGTGTGCGCGTGGGCTCACGCAGACACGCACACATACACCAAATGACTTTTTTTTAGTATGACACCTAAAGTATATGGTCCTTGTAGCTGCAGATGCTACCAGTTGCCGATTTTTCTTGCGTTAGATCTACATGTTTTAATGTATCAGTCATACCCAGTGGGTAAGAATCCTAGGAATCAACGATAGTAATTAGTATCATAGTAATACGTGAATTTTGATTAGATTATTAACCATCATTTTTTATGTCTTTTGAATTTGATTTCTGTTCTTGCTTCTTTGTCACGATTATAATGATTATATATTACCAGGTTTGTACAAACAAGCTTATTTTTCTTGTATATGCTTGTATTCTAGGTGTTCTAGCCGACAATATATCCTTGCTACGAAGAACTGGTCTATGTAAAGAGCCACTGTAAGGTCAATATCTGTGAGCAAGAAGTTTGCTGAAATGAATGAGAGGACATTGTGGATTGAATCATGTGATGCTAGGTAGCATGGATACGGGTGCGGACAAGGATACGGACACGGGACATGACAAATTTGTAAAATGCAGGATACGGGGACACGACCACACATACATATACATATTTATACGATTTGATTAAGCGGTCGGTCCAGGAGCGAGTATTGATTAATCGCATTACGCGCCGATTAATCGGATTATGCAGAATTAAGCGGAATTCAATTTTTTAACATACAAATATTATTTATCATATATAACACTTATATATTCATGGAAACATAGGAAAATACCACAAAAGAGATGAGGAAAAATGCATCTGGACAATCAATAAGTAGTAAACTACTTCAAAGTGCAAACCATACATAAGAAATAAGTGGGTACACAAGTCTAAGTCGTCAAAATGCTAAACACTTAAGCAGTTAAACCAAAAGTTTTTAAACTAAAAAGTAAAAACTAAAAGAGTAAAATCAAGTTCTACTCTTCCTCATCATCCTCATAGCGATCTTTATCATCCATCTCTTCTTCGGGGGAAACCTCAAAATCATCCATCTATTCTTCGAAAGGAACCTTAAGATCAGAATAAGCGAAAACCTGTGGCAATTGGTGAGAATAGATTGGCCAAAATCGGAAATCAACAGTTTTTTGTGTTATACTGACTTGAGGGAGAACGAAGGAACTAGGTTTTTTAATTTTTACGCTGAATTGAATTGTTATTTTTTGTTGGGAGGGGGGGGGGGGGGGGGCGGCCTTGCCATTGTATAAGTTGAAACAGGTTGGGCACAGTTTTATGTTGAGAAAATTCACCGGCATAAGCTTATTTATTCAGGCCTAGAACTTTAAATTGCTGCTTTATGTGTTTTGTTTGCACAAAGTAGCAATTTAGGTCTTTTCCAATTGTTTCTAGGACGAGAATGGCTACACGGATGATTAATCATCCTCATGAACCGATTTTTAGAACCTTGCATACATACATATGTCTATGTGTGTGTGACAATGTGTAGATCAAATTTTGAATTAAAATTCCTATAACATTTGTATGTTTCTTTCTATTATCTATAACAATTAAGAATCAAGTTAAATCAAACTAAGAATAAGGCTTAACAACAAAAATTTAGTTTTGATCATATGGGATAATACGATGGGTATTTTTCAAATATTTAAGTAATGGGTTTTAGTTTTCGGTTTCAAAAACTGATTGGTGCCCAATATTACCAAAGAAACTATTTTAGGGTATAATAAGAAAATTGGGTTTTGCTTTTAATCACTTGTGTCCATAGCGTGTCTGCGGAGAATCCGTGACTGACACAACACGACACCCAAAACACCGTGTCTGTGTAACCTAGATGTGATGTTTTAAGGATGTTCACTTGACTTCCATTTTGTTGGTTAAATATAATAAAGGAATAGAAGAAAATAGATAAAAACCCTAATCTTATTGTTGAGATAACTTAGGCTTATATAGGTCCCTACAAACACAACTTACAAATAACCCTCTAAATATATTAATATGTCACCACTCCTCAAGATGGACGAAAGATATCCACTAAGCCCATCTTGTCACATCCTTTAATCATATCTACCGAGCTAAGTCCCTTAGTCAGACAATCTGTTGTCTGGTCGTTAGTTGGAACATGACTTAACTCTAGTAGTCCACTGTTCAACTTCTCTTTGATTAAGAACCTATCGATCTTGATGTGTTTGGTTCTATCATGCTATACTGGGTTGTTGGCGATACTGTATCATGCTATACTGGGTTGTTGGCGATACTGATGACTGGTTTGTTATCACACTACAGCTTCATCTTTGCTCATTGATCCAGCTTCAGCTCCACCAGCATACTCTTCAACCACAATAACTCCGCAACTCCCAAAGCCATAGCTCTATACTTTGCTTCAGCTGTCGATCTCATCACCACTGACTGCTTCTTGCTCTTCCACGAGACCAAGTTGCCTCCTATAAAGATGCAGTATACTGAGGTGGACCTCCTGTTATCAGCACAGCTAGCCCAATCAGAGTCACAGTAACCCTCAATGCTCACATGTTCATTCTTCCTGAATATCAGCCCTTTTTCGGGGGTATTTTTTAAATATCTCAGAATCTGGTATATTATGTTCATATGATCCTTCATCGGATCATGCATGTAGCGACTCACCACGCTCACTATAAAAGAGATATCGGGACGTGTGTGACTTAAATAGATCAATCTGCCCACCAGCCTCTGGTATCTGTCACGATCAACTGGTTCTCTAGTCTCAGTACCCAGTTTGAACTTCTGGTCGATCGGTGTAGTTACAGGTTTGCATCCTAACATCCCTGTCTCTTTAAGAAGATCCAATGCATACTTCTTTTAGGATAGGACAATCCCCTCCGCTTCTCGAGCTATCTCTATTCTAAGAAAGTATCAAAGCAAACCAAGATCTTTCACCTCGAATTCCTTACCAAGTCTCACTTTGAATTGGGCAATCTCCTTCTCATCAGCCCCTGTAATAATCATATCATCCACATATACTGTAAGCATGGTAATGTGACCACTCCGTCGAAAAAATACGGTATGATCGGCGTTAATCTGTTGGTACCTCATACCTACCATAGCCCTCCTGAATTTGTCGAATCAAGCACAGGGAGACTGTTTCAGCCTATAGAGAGACTTTTTTAATCTGCAGACCTTGCTCACTGTTTGATATGTGTCGAATTCTGGTGGTATTTTCATGTACACCTCTTCCACTAGATCTCCATGAAGAAATACATTCTTCACATCTAGTTGGTGTAGCTTCCATCCATCATTTACTGCCAGAGAGATCAAGATCCTAATAGTGCTCATCTTTGTCACCGGTGCAAAGGTCTCATCATAGTTGATGTCATATGTCTGACTGTATCATTTTGCCACCAGATGAGCCTTGTAGCGTTCAACCTGTCCATCTGGATTCTGCTTCACAGTGAAGATCCACTTGCATCCAACTGTTCTTTTTTCTTCTGATAGTTTTACTAACTCCCAAGTACGATTCTTCTCAAGAGCCTCTAGCTCCTCGTGCATAGCCGATTTCCACTTTGGGTCCTTAGCAACCTGTCAGTTGTTAGGTACAGTAACAGAGTCTAATGATGCAATGAATGCTTCGTGTGTAGGGTGGATATTAGAATATGATACAAACTGGGTAAGATCCCAACCATATCTATCGGGAGGATTTCTCACGTTACTGCGAGTAGTCCTCCGTACTGGCATTGGTGTAGGAGTAAGGAGAGAAATGATATCACCTTGAGAGGAATCTGGTGGTGGTGTAGGTGTCTCAGGAGTCGGAGCAAGCGTTGACAAGGAACTTGGCACCAGTGGTATTATAGGTACTGTTCTCATAATTTGCTTCTCCTTTCTACTATAGGTAAGTAGCTCTCCCTAAGCTGTGGGCCTAATACCTCTTGTCTCATTCTCCTCTTCTTCATTCTCCTGCCCTTTAACCAATTCTCCCTCCTAAGGAATCGATACAGAAATTAATTTCTTCATATTGTTCACCAACCTCTCACCATTCTCTCCCTTTCGTCTCATACTTCCAATATCGAGCGAGTTACCAACAAATGAAGTTATTTTTCGGGTGTAATTTGACTCAAGTTTTCGAAAGTACACATCCATGCTCACAAACAGCCTCTTCTCCATCGGGCTCCAGCAAAATCCTTTTTGAGTAACAGAATATCCCACGAAGATGCACTTCACCGCTCTAGGGGCAAGCTTCCTAACGAATGGTTTGTTGTCCTTTACAAAGCACACACAGCCAAACACCTTGAGTGGAAGAAGCCCACCATTATCTTCCTTCAACGTCTCACACGGAGACTTTCAATCCAGTACTCTCGAGGGTATTAAATGCCTTGTTGATCAGCGTTGTTGCGGTCAATACTGTTTGCCTCCATAATGTTTCAGGGACATTCATGGAGATCATCATACTTCTAGCAACCTCTAAAAGATGTTTGTTCTTTCTTTTCGTTATCCCATTCTGAGCTGGTGTGTATGGACATGTAGTCTGGTGCTGTATTCCCTGAGCTGACAAGTATTCTTTAAGCGTTCTGTTAGTATATTCCGTCTCATTATCAGACCTTAATACCTTCACCACTGCTCCGTATTGAGTCTGAACATACCTATGAAAGTTTTGGAACATTATCAGACCTTAATACCTTCACCACTGCTCCGTATTGAGTCTGAACATACCTATGAAAGTTTTGGAAGCAACCAAACACTTCACTCTTATTTGCTCCGTATTGAGTCTGAACATACCTATGAAAGTTTTGGAAGCAACCAAACACTTCACTCTTATTTTTCGTCAAGTATAACCAAGTAACGCGAGAGAAGCAATCAATGAAGATAACAAAATACTTGTATCCATTTATAAAACTTGTGGAACAAGGCCCCCAAATATCTGAATGTATCGGTCAAATACATGAGAACTCCTATGACCAGAATTAACATAAGAGCTTTAGTAAGCTTTCCAAACTCTCATGAATCGCACGCAATTTTCTGTTTATTCGCTTTCTCGAATAAAGATGGATACAACCTACTTAAAACACTAAAAGATGAGTGTCCCAAACGCTGGTGATGAAGCATCAACTCACTCTCAGCACTCATCTCAGATCCTACTCCTGTTTTCTCTATGATTGATACCAACGCTGAATCCAGTCCTTCACGATCCAAGTACCACAATCCACTACTCTATGTGCCAGTCCTAAGTCGTCGTCTTGTCCTCTTCTCCTGGAAGATCACATTGGGAATGTCAAAAGAAATAATGTATTTTAGTTAGAGTATGATAGCACTAATGGACAAAAGATTGTCTGAAAAAGAAGGAGCATGTAAAATATTGGACAAAGTTACAGAACCTGTACAATTGATTATATCCTTACTAACCACTGGCTGAATACTATCAGCCGATGCTAGATGAGTATATGATGAGAATTCATTAGTATTGCCTGTCACATGTCGTACCGGAATCGACTATCCATTCTGATGATCTATCGGTAGACATAGAAGCAAGAGCATGTATGTTATCAATACCTTTGGTTGGATGAGCATAAGTAGCAGTGTTGCCTCTGGCGAAGAATGAAGTGGATGCCTCTTCAGTCCCACTCCTCCTGTCTCCATCTCCTGCTACTATCTGTTTTTTCCTGAGTATCTCCAGGAGAGCATGATCCTCCTCAGTAAAGACCACATCAGCTGCTTCCTCTCCCTCTGCGATCATTAGATTCGCCCGGTTGTCTGCTCCTCTTCCACCTCGTCGACCCCCACGACCTCCGAACTGTCCATGACCACCTGAATCTCCTTCCTTGGGTGGCTTGGTGCAAGCATGCATTAAATGACCCACTTCACTGCAGTTATAGCACTGCCGAATCTCCCCCTTGGATTCAGAGTTAGAGGCTGTCAGTGCTGACTTCACCACAGAAAATCCACCTGTCCCCACCTGCAGTCTAATGCGAGTCTCCTCCTGGATCATGGCCGAGACTACCTCCTTAAGTGTGGGAACCTTTGGCTGAGCTAGCAGCAATGCAGTCCTCTGATTTAACTCCGATGCTAGCCCCTTGAGGAACACCATAGTCCTTTCCTGTAGAAAAACCTCTCATTCCTTACACTCCGGGTCCTTACAGCTCGTCCAAGGTGAGAAGTGATCATAATCTATCCACAGGCGCTCCAGCTCTGTGGCATATCCCTGGACAGTCCTCTCTCCCTGAACTGTGGCGTCAATTTCTCCATTGATCTGGAACACCTTCAGGTTATTTCCCACACCATCATAGGTTCTCTTCAACTTCTCCCAGACATCCATCACCTTCCCAATGCCATCTACTGTGGCAGCGATCGACTGGACCAATGAGTTGAGGAGCCAGATGTACATCAACATATGAGTGAACTTCCACTCATCTCTTCCAGCTGAGCCTTCAGCCGGCTCTGTTGTCTCTCCTGTCAAGTACCCCTTCAGGTTCCTCCCTGCAAGGGTGTATCTTACCCGTCGTGTCCAAATTAGGTAAGTAGCTGGTCCATCAACCTTCAGATCGATGGGTGGAAGCTCTAAATTTTTTGGTGGCCTTGTCGCACTCCCACCAGCCGATAACTTCATCAGCTGCATCAAAGTTGAGACCTCCGCGGGCACTGTTTTTAAAAACCTCCGCCTAGTCCGCTTAGACGTTCGCCTAGGCCTAGGCAGTACGTAGGCCGCCTAACTAGCGCCTAGCGCCTAGGCGGTATTTAGGCTGCCCACCTAGATTTTACGAGCGTTTAGGGGAACATTGTCTGCTTACGTGAATTGTACCCTGTAGGTCTTGGTTGTGATTTTATGTGTTGTAACCTACACGTCCTCCAAACTCCATTAACCTCCAAATATGAACACCTCAACTACCTCCTTCGACCTTCAACAAAACATCATCGACCACCACTTAAATGAAGAAAGAAATCCGTCTAGACATCGGTCCGGCATCTAAGCTTTTTGTAACATTGACATTCACTATCAATTATTGTAATTAAAAATAAAAAAAATATCTTAGGCTCTAGCCTTGTTAATTATTATTTTGACTATTTAGTATCTAAGTATGCATGATTTATTGTGGAACTAAAATTGCTATCTTTTTTAAAAATTTATATGAATTTAATACATATTGTAATTTGAGTTGAGATGAACTTATAATTTGAGTTGAGAAGTATAAACATACAAAGAGCTATTGTAATTGGTAAACCAAGCAATTTAGTTAATAGTGTTGGTATTTTAGTATTTATGCATCTTTGATTGAGTATATATATATTTATCTTCAAGTTTAAAAAAAAAAAAAAAAAAAAAAAAGCCCAGAAACCGCTTAGGCGTCCGCCTAGGCGACTAAGCGCTGGGCGCCAAGTCCGACGCCTAGAAGCGCCCAGCGTTTAATGTAACATTGTCCGCGGGGTTCAACTTCTTGATGATCTCCTCCATCGATCAAGCTTTAGATCAAACACCTGTTCTCCTTCGTACCTTCGAACCCTCGTTGTGTGCAGTGAAAATTTCGGCAGCATTTCTGCTACACAATAAGAGTAAGAGCTCAACTAAATCCTTGTTTCTCAAAGAAAACAAGAATCGAAAGTGATATATCTCAACAACGTGAGATATACACCCTTCCTCTCATTAGTTCTAGGACTGACATGTCGAGGGAATCGAACAAGCTACACATCCTCTCATCAGTTCTATGACTGATATGTCGAGGGTATCCAACAAGCTACAAATCATCGGGCT